ACCCCCCCCCCAACCACCCCAGCCCCCGGCCTGACCAATAGCAGCTCATTTGTTCGGAAGTTATCTTAACATAATACTTCCCTGTTTGCGCGGCAGAGACGAGCTCCTTTTCTTTTTTAACCTGTGCCTCATCCAGACACTGAGGTGTGATGGAAGCACGTTGTGCAGCTCTGAAGTGACGTGTCCGAGACCAGCTGAGATTAATACAAGATGTCATTACCTCAGAATTACAAAGTTCTATCTGACATTTTGGCTGTTTGAGCTACTACGACCATGAGGCCAGCCAGAAACCAAATCTGCTCTACCCAAATCGTAAGATGATTCGGAGTCGTTATCAAGATATTCAAAGAATTGCAGCCGATAAAGCTTGGCTTGATGTGAAACTCAACCACTTTGACGTCAAATTTCTCAAAACTAGGTACTGGGCAGATAGAACTGTAATTCTGAGGTAACGATGTTATAGCACGCGCGTACTTTGTCCGCGCTACATAGGCATACCTATTTATTTATTGCTTTAATCTGAAATTCTATTCACCCTGACTTTTGTGATATGTACTGACTATTTTGTTTGTTAACAATAGAGAACCCCATCTCTGCGATCGTACTCGAGGCAGAAAAGTGCAAGATAAGAGAAACAAACTTCCACACTGTATTGACACTCTACACATGAGGCATTCAAGGGCAGACAGAAACAAGGAGGGATCTACGAAGACAAAAGAGCTACCGCTGGACGTCTAACTACTTACAACTAACCTACACGTATAATAATGTGTAGAAAATAGAAATAGTCCACAGAAAAGTTTAAAGACATCGAATTGTGTAGTTGTGAGCCCCGTAAAACACTTACAAAGAAAGAAAGAAAAAAAGACATCGAATTGACACTTAATATATATGACCTTATTGTGTTGCTAGTGCCTCAAAACTCTAACTAAAACTAACCCCCCCCCCAAAAAAAAGAGAGAGAGAAAAAAAAGCCATCGGTGACCCAGCAAGATGGAAGCGTCTTCTCCCACCACCCCGCCGGAGACGTACGACGACCAGAAACCTCTTCTGGAAAACTCTTCCGACGCTGTCAACCCGTCCATACAGAACGACAACCTGGACGAGCCGGCCGACGTCGATGTCGACCCACGAGTCGTTGAGAGGTCAAGGCCAAAACATGTCAAGGTCACCATCGAGAAGTTCGCGTTCGTCCTTCTCAACCTGATCGGCATCCTGATCAGCTGCTCAGGTCGTCTGCACAGCCCGCTGGTGGACCAGTACCTGTACAAGGTGTTCGCCGGGCCGTTGGCGGGAAACCAGAGCCAGCACACTGCCAGGTGGGACTTTTGGTTGTTTTACACCGTAATCATCATCATCATCATCATTATTATAATTTTATCCTCACTTCTCTTCTTCTTCTTCTTCTTCTTCTTCTTCTTCTTCTTCTTCTTCTTCTTCTTCTTCTTCTTCTTCTTCTTCTTCTTCTTCTTCTTCTTCTTCTT